GCTCAGATCGTCCAAATCGTTCAAATCACGCTGCTCTAATCGCGCTTGAGGCGCCGCAGAACTTCCCAACGCTGATCGAAGCGCRTCCACCATAGACTTTGTATGTAAACCTGCTGCTCCTGATGCTGAAATCACGTTTGGTGTGAATGCACCATTAGGGTAAACTTTGGGTCACAACCAGTGGTGGGTCCAGTCATTTTTTTAAGGCAGTGGTTTTAAATCACATAGCAGCAGTGAAGATAGATACAGTACATCTTAAGATTACATTTTCTGCTTTTAAATAGTTTGTTATTCTGATGCTTGTGCTTTCATTTGATGAGATTTGTGTTTCTTTTTTGATGTATTGAAATTTTTGTTTTTAATCGAAATGAATAAAAAAGTTATTAGCGATGTTAAGATGTGCGGTTTTCTCTCAAATTTCAACACAATAATGCTACTATTGCTTGTTTTGGCCTGACTGTATCCTGATGATTTTCTGAAAAAAAAAGGTGGAACCTGCACACGGCCAGACTCTTAAACTGGGACTGGTGTTCTCACCGGACAGCCAATGATGAGGTCACTGGTCCTAAGGTCTTCACCGTACCGCTGGGCGTGTCTCAGGATGGAGAGGGCGGAGTCTGAGGCGGGGTTTAGGCCCCCTAGCTCCTCGAGAGCCTCGCAGTACTGCTCCAGCCTCTGAATGGGAGCCTGAAGGCACTGAGGGAAGGACAGAGGGGAGAGGGGGGAGGCTTGGGGCAGTTTGGACTTCAGTAGGAGTAACAGGGAGACAAGAAAGTTTGAATGTCAGGTACCACTGAACTGGTGTTTCCACATCAAATATTAAACTAATTTACTGAGTACTCATGTWAAGATTACTTTCAAACACATATTTACAGAACACACAATCTGCATGGCAACAATATTCTTCTACACAGAGGCCTCTTTGTAAAATAACACTCCTGCTGCCAGAAAACGTGCAGAAATATAAAAAAAACATGACAGAAATGAAAGTGTTGAGCCTGTCTGTAACTCCTGCAGACTTAAAATAAGGATCCTGTGCTCCTAAAGGAAGTCTAATCTACGGCTGACACAACATGCACATCACACGAGTGATATTATCCTGCTGCCAGATTTCTCAGGACACCTCCAGAGGTGTTGTGGTGTTCATTACTGGGCAGCTCAAACTGTCACAGGAACATAATGGAGGATGTTCCATGAGCTATGACAAACAAATTATCGTCTATAGGCACTACTTCTTCTTTTGTAAAACACTTCAGTTTGAGCCTAAGACATCTTCCTCCTATCCGTGTGATTTAAGAGAGAATTGGCAGCAAGAAATGTTGAAGTCAACCTGCAACTGTTACACCTCTGATCAGCCAGGCAAGGTAGTCACAGAGCTGAAACAGTTTGTATGTGTAACAGTAGGGGTGTCCTGATACCAATACTGGAATCGGTATGGGGCCTAACACCAGCTTTTTTATGAGTACTTGTGCTCGTAAAAATAATACTCAGGATTGATCTCAATACCAGTACCTGTCTTAGTGCTCTTCTAAATCGATACACGATTGGATGTGTGTTTTAGTTACAGTACTGCAGGTTTGAAGTTTTGTAGGGTGAGTTAGCAGCATTAGCAGGGTTAGCGGTTTTGTTGCACGATGACATCATAACAAGAGTCGTGCACCAACAGCAAAGGCTGCGTTCCATTTGGAAACACTTAAATATTAACTTTAATGTCTAAGACTTCACTTTTACATTTAGATTTACACAGATTTAGGATTTATTGTTTACACATATTAATTAACATTTAATTTAACATTCAGTAAAAATTAGCAAAATGTAAGAAGAGTGAGCTAAATAACAATTAAATGTTAGTTAACTAGGATTTTACACTCAGAAAGTGAGCTAAATAACAATTAAATGTTAGTT